TAAATTAAAATATGAAATTATATATAAAATATGAAATATGAAAATTAAAATATTGGATAATAGATAATTATATAAATTTATATATATATGTATATTGGAATATTAATCATATATATGATTAATATTCCAATGAAAAAATATTTAAAATAATACATACATATTATTTTTATTATTCTATTTATTTATACATTATTATAACATTAAATAATTTGAATTTTTTAATTATATGAAATAATTATATAACTATATTGAAATATAATTGAAGAAATGCATTAAAGAAAAAATGATAATTCTTAAAGTAAATTTATATTGAATAGCACAAAAATTTTTAAACTTTTATAATTAAAAGAAACCACAATCTATTATTATTATTATGCAATTAATAATATATTAAATATATTGTTTTATTAAATATATTTTCCTTTATTAGATAAATATAGGTCACAATTATGTATCAACACAGCAATAGTATATATGCACAGGTTTTACGTATTCCACTCGCTGTCACATTTCCACAGGAATGCAATTGCAGCAGCAGCATTATTTTTGGCAGCAAAAGTCGAAGAACAACCACGCAAGTTAGAACATGTTATCAAAACAGCTCACATGTGTCTCCACAGAGATCAGCCCTCACCTGACGTCAGATCTGAAGTAAATATAAGAAATTAAACTTAATATTAACATATTTGTAATAAATATAAGTATTAAATTATTTATTTTATTTATAGCAATATCTTGAGCAAGCTCAAGACCTGGTTTTCAATGAAAATGTTCTACTACAAACATTGGGGTTTGATGTCGCCATTGATCATCCCCATACACATGTTGTTAGATGTTGTCAACTGGTTAAAGGTATTTAAATTATGTTTGGAAATTTATATAATATTACATTTTTGAAATTTTAGTTTTTTATATTTTATGTGAAAATTTTATTATAATAATAAGTTTAAATAATTCAATAAATTATTATATTACTAATAACTATTAGATCTTCAAATATAATTGATAAAAACTTTCATTCAGTTATTTTAACTCTTTTTACAGCGAGCAAGGACTTAGCCCAGACTTCATACTTCATGGCATCTAACAGGTGGCTACACATTATTTCCTAGTATCTCTTACTCTTAGCAGTCTTCTGGTCAAATAGATGCCAGCTGGAGCATATTTCCAAACTAAGACTGTCAGGCAATAGCCACTGGCGCAACATTCTGACCTATTTTCTTTTTAGAAAGCAAAGTAAACGTGAAATAAAGTTACATTTATTAATATTTATTATATTTTTTATAAATATAAAAATATGTCAATAGACATTCTTTCTTTCAAAAAAAGTAAATTTAATTATTAATTTTAAAGTATGAATATAAAAATTTAGTATACAAAAGTTTACTTTGATTTCATATTTTATTCTAAATTCTAATGCGAATGTTTAAATGTCAACAGTAACTTTTGGGGAGGAATGTTGCGTTGCAGTCGCGGTAATGTCTGATTCTAAAGAGAACGTATGCCAAAGCGAAACGAAGTTTATTTCGTAAACTAAGTTCACGATGAGGATTGCTTAATTGAAGGTAAATGAAATATTCTTAAGGACTGATCGTTTTCTCTTACATTACGGTATATTGTCCAATTTTTATTTTTATATTTATATACACTTATTTTTAAGCTGTAGATGCACAAAACAAATAAAGAATGAATGAAATGAATGTGAAAATAGTGTAATGATGAGTGAATGTCCAAAAACATTTAATAATACAAAAAAGAATAAATAACCATACTATTAGAATATATTTTATATTAGTAATCCATTATGGTATGGTATGCAGTCTAATTATAATCTGTTCAAATATTATTCAATGAATAATATTTA